GTTAGAGTTTTTGCAATGCGTTGTCAAAATACTTTTGTCCTCTATTGTATTTACATGCACACGAAGATCATTTCTGTTGAGTTTTTTAGTCAAACTGTCTTTTGCTGAGAGTCTTTGTGTAAGCGAAAAATCGTATTTCTCTTTACGCGACACTCATTGGAGATCGTCACACCAATGAGTCAATGCGAAGCACTTGACCAAAACCGATGCAAAACAAAACAAATAGAGCCGCTCATAGAAAGATTGTGTCTGCACAATCTTTTCGGTTATGTTATGAAGCAGAGCGTATTCGAAAAACGATCAACAATCATTTGCAAGCTATGATACAAAATTAAGAAAAATTATAACTATTAATCACGCACCTTTGACGATACTATCCTCCATTATCGAGACATTGAACCATCTATAGTGCCCGACCATCGATAGTGACATCGATAGTTTGGCATCTCTAGTGTGCGCGTGTGGTTGCGTGTGCGAATAAATTTTGAAATATCAGTTGCTCGAATGGTTCAGGGGATCTCGTAGTCGAGCAGTCTCGACTAGAGCTTTCTTATTAAATTTCATTTAGTTTACAAATCTTTCTCTAATGGTTACGTTAATTAAATTAAGAAATGTTTAACCAAAACACTTTATTGACAACGACATTATATTGTACATATACTCGGTTTGGAAAGCGAGGGTTACAACTTACATGTTTTATATAGATAAATTAAATTATTCCTTTTAGCCTTGATAATCTTGACGTTAGAGGTTCTATATTATTATTATTTACTTTTAGTCTAAGGTAACACGCAATCCAGCCACCCACTCTACAATATGTTTGAAAAATTCATCGTCAACAAATTCAATTATGCGAACATTCTCTGGAAACTTTTTACATTCCCTTAAATGGTCAAGAACCATTTGGCCTCGAGTGTGTGTTCCTGTAAGATCAACGGTAGCGTGCCAAGTACTAGACTTTTTAATAAACTGCTTGTCAAAAAGACATGCAGCTACTAACAAAGCATCACAGGGATTCCAATTATCAATCTCATACTGTGAGTTTTCTACTTTGTTAAGTATATCTATTGCACGGTGTTTGTGAGCAGTAGCACATTTGCCAAGCTCATACAGTCGCCAGTCCTAAGAAAAACTTATTAATATTAAAATATGTAAAAAAAAAACCGTAGGCAGCATTCATTGAAATTTTGCTACTTACAATAGGTATGTTGAAAAAAAATTTGGTGCACGGTTCCCATGGCAGTATAGTAATTGGACATCGAGTTTTTAAAAAAACAGCATGTGCTGCCTCTGGATCTGAATGGAAATTAAACTCTGCGGATCGTGATGAGTTTCCGACTCCTTGATAGTTTCCGCCCATAATGTAAATATCTTTGATACAAAAAAAAAAGTGTTCACCATACATAGTGTAGCCAAGTGCCAAATTAGTAAGAGGACCCACCGCAATAATAGTGATTTGTTGAGGTCGATCCTTGCAAAACTTGTGTATGGCCACAACTGCATGTTGTGGTTGCACATAGCTGGACACATGCGAACCGTTTTCATCATTTAAGCAATCACCGAATCCATCTCGTCCATGGAATAACTTTCTATCAGCATCAACATAACCAGCAAGAGGTTCAACTGCACCCATATAAATCGGTACCTAAGCAACACAAGCAATTTTTAATATAAGATGTGATTAATTTGTCGCTCAGCATATAGTACACATTGATAAACATGATTAGTTATAATCACTAACCAGAGAACACATAGACTAGACATCTAGAACAAATTATTTCACCGACGAAAATATGCGCTGAAGAGACCAGACAACTTCGTATTTACTCGGCTCGGTGGCAAGTGGACTATAAAAAGTGAACTCGGCAAGTGGACTATAAAAATTTCAAGTGGAAATAAGATACACATGTCAAGATGATCTTTATTGCCAAAATTACATAAAGGCTCATTTGACAGTCACTCTACAATTCAAACCATACAAAAACTACTGAATCGCCAGACATTTATCATCCCATTTCATGGATACATACACATATGCAAATCACGAGACCGACCAACGGTAAATTTTGGGCTTTACAGCAAGAGTTCCGTACACAGGCACACAAATGCTCAAGCAAGGGACTGCAAGTGTGTGTGTATGCATGCCCGTCGCGAAATCATATTTTTTATGCGCCTCAACGCTTTCATACCCTTCCTAGAAATAGTCATGAAAACGCTAACATTTTGTATGAGCGTGTTAAACGCTTTTAAGAGTTTGGTATAACCTTCACTCAAAAGGAATGAGCTGAGATCGTCGCGAACAATTTCAATTTTTGTGCGCTGCTGCTATTTGAGAGACCATAGAGATAGAGCGTAAAGAGAGGGAGAGAGTAAGGGAAAAAGAGCGTATAGCCGCACTTCATTTGGGAACGTGTGCATTTCGTGGCAGCAGTAGCAGCGCACTGATTTGGTCGTGCCCTTTTTTCACTGCTTGAGCAAAAGACTGAGCCGAACAAATACGAAGTTGTCTGGTCTCTTCAGCGCAGAAGATATAAGAGCTAGAGACTTGAAATTTTTTTCCTACGCCCGTGTATAGCACGCGCATATCGAGTTTTTCTTCAAAAATCGTTATTTTGTTGTCGATTAAAAACAATATGGAAAATCAGTTATACATTTATATCTGCTAGATCTTTAGAGCTAGAATCGCCAAATTTTAGATGTATGTATGTACTTTATCACTTTTCACATGCATGCATGCATATACATACATGAGAGAGCAGAGGACATCGACAGAGACAGTGAGAGCAAGGGAACATTGGGAATAGAGTGATCTTTTGTATAACAGTCCACCATCTCGGTCGAGCGCATGAAGCGGCATGATTGTGCTTTCGTATATTTGCGTAGCCCGAAACTAAAAGTGAAAAGCCGAGCAAATACGGAGTTGTGTGGGACGCAATGCTCGAAAAAAGTTTGCAAAACAGCTTTTGAAAATGCTACGCTACTCCGTAGTTTTTCGTTTTGCTCTCGCTACCGCTCTCATTTTTGACGAGAGCCGTAGCAGAGCCATAGCCTAACAATAAAAAGTTTGTGCTCTGCTCTGCTCTCGTAGTTCGTTGTGTTAAAATCTGTAGCGATAGCAATAGCACAAAACGAAATGATGTGCTACGCTCTGCCGTAGCGGTAGCTGAAAACAGATAGCGAAGGCGATAGCTAAAAACAGAGAGCGAGATGAAATCATAGCAAGATGAGTACAGAGCCAGATGAGAACATAGCGAGATGATAACAGAGCGAGATGAGAGTAAAACAAATGTGCTAGAGCGGATTGAGCAGCAGCAGATCTGGATTGTTTGTTTTTAATTTTTTTCAAATTTGAAAATGACCGTATATACAGCGCGGATGTCGAGTTTGCGTTTAAAATTCGATAAATCATCCCGTAATGTTTTTATCGA